GCGGCTGATCATCCAGGAGCCCGAGTGCCAAGATATACTGATGATATATGCCCCCCAGCTCCTCGTGGCTCTGCTTTTCCAAGTATTCATGAGCACAGAGCAGATGCCAGAGGAGGTCAAGACCTTCTGGAGCCAATGCCAGTGGCAACATGACCTTCCCAACAACCCCAACAGGTGCTCCATCCCAATCCTCCCTCTCTCCCATGCCCTTGGGGCTTGGGCCTGGGCTCCCAGCATGATCTGACCAAATTTGCCCTGCACACAGATTTGCTGTACAGACCATCAAGGCCCTGCTCTGCTGTCTACACTGGGAGAACGAGGTGGTGGCCGTGGAGCGCAAGCGTGGCTGGGACACCCTGCTCCATGCTGACACCCACCACTATGCAGTGGGGCTGCTGGCCAGGTGAGACACCCTTCTCTCTGCTGCCACCATCATCTCTTTCTGGGGCACGGGGCAACCTACAGAGGCCCAGGGTCATGGACCAGACATTCTTGGCACCAAGGGCTGGAGAAGTAGTTTGGAAAAGGATGTGAGGTGGGTGCACAGGAGGAGCCACCTCCCAAAGCGCCCATATCCAGTCCAGGGCTTCTGTGGAAAAACCAGACCTCTGGGAGTCAGTCCTGGGAGACCTTTGCTCACCCTGCTCAGGCTCAATGGCTCCTTTCTTTTCTTGACAGGGAGATGCGCAATGTCTTGATCCCCTTCTTTTCCGGCATTGAAACCCACCTGCTCGGACTGCTCAGCAGGGAGGAGCCCCGCTGGGAGCTCCCTGCGCTTGCCTTCCTTGTTGAGGTGAGCCTGGTGGCGAGCGCTGCCTCGCCCAGCTGCCTCCCCCCTCTCTGTCCTCTCACAGCCGCAGCTGCCCAGGCTGGTGCCTGTGCCCTGTGCTGCTGCCTGGGCACAGCCCTGGGTGGCTCTGGACTCCTGCCACCCGGCCATCACCTCACTGCTCTCTGCCTTCCAGCTCCTCGACTATCTGGATGGGAGAAAATGTCATGAGAGTGTCCTGCCTATCCTAGCAAGGCACCTGCACAGCAAGTGCCCTGAGAGCCGACGCCTGGCACTCAGAGGCCTCCTTGTGCTCAGTGTGGATCCCTCAATGGTGAGAAGGGGACACCCGGCTGAAGCCACACTGGCAGTTTGGGGCTGGGAAATTCAGACCCTTGGGCATAGCTGTGCTTTGGGAGCTGTGGCAGCTGCTCCCAGCTTTCCTGCCTCCCTCTTCAGTTGCCCAGGCCCTGCAGGACAGGCCTTTGTCCTCTGGGCCCTGTGGCAGCAGTGTGGGGTTGTACCACCAGAGGGCTGCTGGTGGTGCAGCTGTTCAGGACTTCACAGCACAGCACTGTGTTCCACACAGGCCAACAGCATCTGCACCCTTTCTGAGCACCTCGTGGAGCTGCTTCATGATGGAGACGGAGATGTGGTCGGGATGGCCCTCTCTGTGTTCCTGAATATTCTCCAGGACAAGGACATCGAAGAATTCAGCTCCACTGCCCCAAAGCTGGCTGAGGCACTCCGGCCACTCTTTGATAACGTAAGGCTCTGGCTGCCTGGTCTGCCTGCAAGCTTTGTTCCCTGTGGTTTTTCAGGTCTGGGCCTGTGCCAGCTGGGCCTGGAGCAGCCAGTGCTGAGGTCTTTTTCTTCTCTTTTTCACCAGGACAATACCCATGTGCAGCTGCTCTCCATTCGTCTCTCCCAAGCGGTCATGGAGTTGCTTGCGGACCAGGGAACAAATATACCCGTGCACCAGAGCCTCGTACCCCCGTTCTTTCACTGGCACGATGGGAACCAGTGTGTGGCAGAGGTGAGCATTTGTGGGCTCTGGTGTCCCTGTGCCAGGGGCTCGGCTGGTGCCTTCCAGGTTCCAGTCTCCTCCTGACCTTGGCCCAGGAGTGCAGGTCCTGTGCCCTGGGCTGTGGTGCCATGTCCCAATCTCTGCTGCTCTGCAGCCTCTCACTAAAAGCTCTCATTCACTCCTCTCTGCAACTACACAGAGGAGAGAAAATCCAGCAGAGGATTCATGAGTTGAGATAAGAGCTGAGAGAGCTCACTTACTGATCACCATTATGGGCAAAACAGACTCCAAGTGGGGATATTAACTAAATTTATTACTAACGTGATCTGAGGAAGAGAGTGACAAGTAAAAAAATCTTAAAACCACCTTTCACCCACGTGTTCTTCCTTCCAAATTCTACTTCCTCCTTCCCCCAGCACTACAGGGAGGCAGGGAATGGGTCTTACGGTCAGTTGTGGTTTCTGCTGCTGCTTAGGGAGAGCACTCCTCCCCCATCTTCCTGTGGGATCCCTCCCACTGGAGACAATCTTTCATGAACCTCTGTAGCATGAGTGCATCCCATAGGCAACAATTCTTCACAAAACTGCTTCCACGTGGGTCACTTTTCCAAGGGGGTGCCGTCTTTCAGGAACGAGCTGCTCCAGTCTGGGTCCTCCACAGTGCCACAAGTCCTGCCAGTGCCCTGCTCCAGCATGGGCCCCCTCCCCGGGGCCACAGCCTCCTTTGGCACTCACCCTCTTTGTTGTGTGCTCCTCCAAGGGCTTCAGGTGGATCCCTGCACCTCATGGTGCTCCTCCATGGGCTGCAGGGGCACAGCTGCTTCACCAGGGGCTGCACCAGGGGCTGCAGGGAAACTTCAGCCCTGACACCTGGAGCACCTCCTCCCCCTCCTTCTGCACTGACCTTGGTGTCTACATTCTTGTTCCCATCTTCTCACTCCGCTCTCCCCTGGCTGGAATTTTCATCTGCACAATAATTTTCTTTCCCTGCCTAAATATGTCATCATATCAGTATTACTATCATTACTGATTGGTTCAGCAGTAGGTCCGTCCTGGAACCGGCTGGCATTGGCTCTGCCAAACAAGTGGAAACTTTTAGCAGTTTCTAACAGGGGCCACCCCCGTAGTCTCCCCGCTACCAAGACCTGGCCACAGAAACCCAGTACAGCTCCCAATTTAGATTTTTTCAAGGAGAAAGGTATCTCCAATCAGAAGCAAGTAAGCAGCCTGTGGCCAGGGCTTGAGTCCCACAGGGGTCTTGTGGTGCTCAAGCTGAGTCTTCTGGCCCGTAAGCTTTTGAGGCCAGCACAATGAGGGGGGAAGGGAAGCATTCCTCCTGGGAAACTGGGCAACCTCCTCACGCTGGCAGATCTCAAACTCTCCCTCATTCCCTCTCCAGGTGCCGGACATCGTGAGGTACATCCACCAGTGCCTTACGTTCCACGTGTCTCCAGATGCCAGCCTCCAAACTAACATTCTCAGGCTGGTTGATGCACACCCTCGGGAGGTGGTCTTTTCTCTCCTGCGCTGTGCCCCAGCATGTGACAGGTACAGGGACCAGCTGCCCTGCTGGCTCAGGGCTTACAACCCTCTAAGACCCATCACCCCAGACAACCTATCCCATCTGGTGTGAGAGACAGATGGAGAGTTCCACGACCCACTGGCCCCTCCATTTCCCAGCCCTGGCATGTCAGCCCCTCATCCTTCTGCCATGTGCCCTCCCTGCACCTCAAGGCAGCATGACTCTGTGGCCTGGGCCCCCACAGCTGCCCAATCCATGGCACTGTGGCAGAGACCCCCCTGACACAGGGCTCTGGCTCCACAGAGCTGCTGCAATGATCTGGAGGACCATCGCCGCTTCAGGAACGACAGCAGAGAAGGTGATCCCAGCACTGCTCCAAGTGATGGAGGACTGGCCTCTGCACTGCATGTCCTCCTCTGGCAGTGGCGACAACAAAGACGTCTTTGCCCTGGCTGTGAGTTTCTGCAACTGGTCTTTGCTCCTCCCCAGGTCACCTCTCCAGTGGCTCTCCATCCTCCCCCACCACTGCATCTCCCTGCCTCAGGCGTGTGGATGCAAATCTGCCTGAGGGGCAGCTTCAGGGGCACCAGGCCCGCTGCTCCCTCTGCGACACCCCTACCCTCTCCCTCCCACGCTAAGGCCCGGCCACATGGATGTCTGGGCACTGAGCACTGTGTCCGTGTGGTTTTATTGCAGGCAACCCTGGCACTGCGGCTGATCATCCAGGAGCCCGAGTGCCAAGATATACTGATGATATATGCCCCCCAGCTCCTCGTGGCTCTGCTTTTCCAAGTATTCATGAGCACAGAGCAGATGCCAGAGGAGGTCAAGACCTTCTGGAGCCAATGCCA